CCATTTTCTATGGTGTGATTGCACGTGTCTGAGTGTGCACGTGTCTACAGGAATACAAAATGTATAACTTTTCATCACTTTCCCCATGTGTGTTGCCTAATGGTTCGCATGCATTTTGTAAGCCATTGCAGGATTTATTAACCTGAACTTTCACGCATGAAAAACCAGGTCTATGCAATACTGTAGATTTCCCATTATTGAGACCATGCAGCCTACCATTTCCACTTGGATGCAAAAAAGTACAACTAAACTCACATTGACACACAGACCTCTCTTGCCTCAGCTGTCTGTGCACAGGAAAACAAAAGAAAGCTCTTTCCTGCAAGACCCCCAGCCGCAACTTCGATTCTGGCTGCAGCAATTGTGCAAGCTGTCACACAAGGCAGCTGGTCTACGAGCAGTGAAAGATCATTGCCTGGAAAGAGCACATGTCACAAGCATTATTATGTTGCAACTACTCTACTCTCTCTTCTCTCTATTTAGTCTCACACAACTACCAAATTAACTTTCCATCTTCCACCCACTTTACTCTTTACTTCTTCTCTTTTACTTGGTAGCTAATGTCATGCAATACTTCCTGGTACTATATCTGTACAATCTGCTGTAACTTCCCACGCTATGCTGCAACTTCTAGTAAGGCGAGTGCCAGTGGTCTGGTGACGCTTAATGCAAAGGAAAAAATAACATTTCTGACAAGAGATGGATGAGTTTGATTTCAAATGTTTATTCTCAAAGCATTAAAAATGAGTACAGTTCAAATATTGCATTGTTTTGTCTGCATATTTCAAAGTAAAACAATAGTCCATGAAAGTGTCACAGGTACAGACACAGCTCAAATCAGGATTTGCAAGCAAAGTCTCTGCTCATTCCAAGAACTTCCTGATAGCTGCACTGGAAAAGAAAAGTTAAGTCCATTTAGACATTTTCAGATACCCTCTTCCAGACCAACATCTTCCTTGTTCCCCTCTGACCAGACTTAGTCCAGTCTCCGCACTTTCATATGTCCATTTCTTGCACAGTGTCCATCTCTTTGACCTTCTCTGCTCAGTTCCCCATTGCTTTCTATCTAGGGCAGTAACTGGGTCAAAACTTGTCATCATTTCATGCATTATGCAGAACAGTCAAAAATCCTTCTCAGTGTCCATCAGGCTTTCCGTCCACTCCACAGTACACCTGATCCAGTCCACACTTGACCTCTGAACTTGAACCCTTCCTCAGAGTAATCCAGAACCAACGTGCTGACCCAGAATGCACCAGAAGATCGTGCTCTTGCATGAGGTTACAGCCACAGCCTCTTAATCCAGACATATGAGGCTGGCAGAAAGGCTCAACACCCACAGCTGAGGCTCAGCTCTCTGACTTTCTTTTCATCATCTTCATCATCATCATGTGAAGCATTGTTGCAGGGGAATGTCACTTCAGCGCTCTGGGAGCGTGATGCTGGGCACCCAGTCGTACACACTGCGGCTCTCCTCACAGAACAGACTCAGCTTGTCTAGTGCGGGGTCTTTCCATGGGTTTGCACTGGGGCTCTGGAATAAAAAAAGAATAAGACATTTAGAGTCAGAACACCTACCACAGATATAGGCTATGCACACATGCAGAAACTAGGCTGCGTGTGCAGAAAAATTCAGACAGGGCAGTGATGCATGCATGATTCACTGGCTGAGTGGGTGCTCTCTCGGGAACGTACCGTGACAAGAATGCAGTGCGCGTCCTTGGGCTCGCCGGTCTCGTCTGAGCCCACGAGGTCTGCCAGGCGCTCGATGTCGTTGACGCGCACCACGTTGATGTCGTTATCGAAGCAGAAAGCCTGGATGAGGGTGAAGTGGATCTGCAGAGCGATGTCACATTCGTACTCTTCATCAGTGGAGAGGACGCAGAATGCCACGCTGTCTGGGTCACTGTGGAACAGACAAGGAAGGTGGTCAGAACATATTCTCTCATGCTTATGCTTAAATGTTGTTTTTTTTTTACAAAGAGGACAGTTAGTCAAACATTTCACGAATTGCAATACTTACACATTCATGACTTTAGCAGATTCATAAACTCCAACTGTCAGGTAGTCCTGCTTCTTAGCGGCGAGCAGCAGCTCTTCCAGGGCTGCGCCTGCACTTTGCACCCTTGACAAAGAAAAACACACATCATCAGACACTACAGCACTAATGACAAACCGGTATAAAGCATTAACCCAACGGCTTGAATAATGTTGAATCCGTGTGTTAAATATTCACCTGTCTGCGTTTTCCATTGCGTTCTCTTGTCCGCGGATCTCTTCCAGAGTCATAGTTATAATCCAAGCGCGATCGGGATTTTGAAGTGAAGAGTAAAGGCTGTGTGGGTCTCTGTTTAGTCTCTTGCGTTATTCTGAGCTCGGAACAGACTGTGGGTGCTTTTATAGCAGCTCTGCGTAGTTTCTCGGCAAGGGGCGGTCTTTTCCGCTCCTGCCTCCTACCATTGGCTTAGAGCAGCCTTTGCTGAGGAAAAAAAAAGTCCCCAGGGCACGGAGCATGATGATAACCCCACGTGGGGCAAGATTACAACCTTTCAAGAAATCCCCCCCACCCACCACCAATTCCCCCTTACCTTGTCAACATCCAACATCACCACAGTGAGCAAAAACTAGAAGTCCTGTTTGCGATGGACCCTCAGAGTGACTGTAAACAGCACAACTGACACAACAAAGCCTGCACCCACTGTGGCTTCAACCTGAATATCACACAGTCAATTGATATTCTGGCACGTAGGCTGACATGTTTATGACCTAATAATGCATACATATGAATCATGTGATATTACACGCTCGTGGAGAATAAACAGAAAGAGCGATTAAAAAATTTTTTTTGCATCCTAATGTATTTATTTATTTTAAATAAAATGATTGTTTTGCAGGTGGAGAGCCACGGTTTATACATCGTGTTATTAACCACGCCATTACTGAACACCGTGCCTTGTGTTTTTGTTATGCGCCAACTGATGTTTTCCCATGACAGTTACAAAACCAGTGGGCACAGGCAGACCAACACACCTCGGACAGGTGATGTTATCGAATCGGTTAAAGGAAAACTGCACAACATTTTGCTGCAGTGGAATCAGTAATGATGATTCCATTATAAACTCCGGAACAATCCTCTAAGAACTGGACTTCCCCAAAGCGTGGGGAATCACTGGCGCGTTATATTTAGCCCATCCAAACTTTCCCTGCCGGTCTAGTCTCGCCTTGCCCTTAATAAGCAGCTCGTTGGCGGTACACCTGCGCGCGCGTGCATCCTATCAACCTGTTACTCAACGCGCTGCTGTGTTCACGGTCTGCCCGGTAGTTACAGAACTGTGCCTCAAGCGAGCTCTGCAAGCCTGTCCTGACCCAGATAGGGGGAGATTTCTTGATGGCGACGTGTTTTGGAGAGGAATGGGGGCCCCATCCCTCCCCCATCATCAAAACAGCTTGTGGCCGGCACACGCCAGTTTTTTTGTTCGCCCTTTGAAAAGGAAGCTTAATTACCGGTCTGAGTCGACGCGTGTCGTTTCTCCGCGCGGAGAGGAAAAAAGGCCACTTTGTGTCACAATAATACTCACGTCCTCCACCTGCCCCCCGGGTCCTTTCATGGGGGACTGGGGAGGGATGTGACTGTGTGTATGTGCGGCCCTCGCCTCTTTAATTACCCCACTCCATTCAGTGGCCCCTGCGGCAGATGCCCGACAGATGCGCGTGCTCCCCCCCCGCAAGCGCCACGCGCCGGCCGTGGTGTTTTCAGGCCTGTTTATCTTATCACCTGGACTGCGTGTGTTTACATTCAACATCATTCGCCTTTCAGACAGATGCCGAATGCAGTGCATGTTTGCACACCAGTTGGATGGTCTTGTCCTAACTTGAAAATGGCATCTACTATAATCTAGCAAGCAATAATATGATTAATTGATTAATTAGTTCGTTAATTTAACTCATTCATTCCAATTCAGACAATTATAGGAAATGTGCACCACACAATAGTGTTAGAAGTACCACAAAGTAATTACAAGATTATTGCCTACACTCTGTTGAAGGTTGTTTTCTTCTGAAATGATGAGTCAAATTAAAAAATCACTTTGACATTTATTTTAATGCGAATTAAGATGCCGGCATGATAAGTGGGTGACCTTTAACCTAATCTACACCATCTACGGAGCTGCTGAACTCCAGCTCGGCCCGCACAGAGCAGCGCTCAGTGTCAGAAATCTGAACTGACAGCGCCATCTGCTGGTCATTCAGCAAGCGTGACCTTTCCTCTGCTACACATGTTGAATAAGCTCATGACTCATGACTCCCAACAACATTACACTCTGTGAGTCACCGATCACTTCTGAAGTCAGAAAAATATTTTTTTGCAGTCATGGAGCAGGAATGTGGACAAGGGAATACAAAGACATTGAATTGAAATGCTTGTCCTCCCCAGAACATCCTCAAAATGTCCTTGTATTATCCATACAGGTGAATTTACATGTTATTTATATATATAAATCTAAATACTGGTCAGATAAACATTACTAGATCTTTTAGTATCTGGAAGTTTGTATCTTGGAAGTCTTGGCTTTGACAGCTCTGAATGCAGTAAGCAGCTTGGCTAAGAGAATGGGGGAAATCCCAGGCTGGCTGAGAAAATCCCACTGGAGGATGAATTAGAGCATTAACTTGAGCAAAACACCTAACTCTCTAAAACACTCGTGGTCAAGCTGTGGAAAAGTCCCAGACTGTGGTTGAACAGACTTTGTCTGTGAAAATATCCCCAAAATGTTTTGTAGGACCATTAAAGACCACAAATATTATGAAAACTGAGAGCATTTTAAACAAACTTATATAGCTGTTCAGAGTGAACTTCTGTTGTGTAGCCCAGTGCATCTCTTTTGTAATGTTTCATTTCATAGTAGGCCATGTGTGGTCAAAAGCCTCCTCAAGTTGAAAGACTGAGCGTACGGCTATTCTATTCCTTCATCAATAACACTGATCAAGAACAACTGACTCATTCTGATTTATAAAAAGTTTATTATTATAGAGGTCCAGACATGTCTTATACATACAGAGTTCAAATGTACATAAGAGCCACAATCATTTAAGCGTATTTACATTCCCTTCTTGGACTACGTCAAATGTCAGTGCATTTGTTCAACATGATCAACATTTAAAATCTCATTGACTGTCGATTATAACAAAAAGCAGTTCCAATACCATTTAGATTCCATTTATTACTAACAGTAACATAATAAAATACACAAAAAATATGCCTCACTGACAAAACAGGTCATTACATTTTTGAGTATATTTTTACTGCAACACGGTTTACTGAGCAAATATATCAAACCCCGTATTCTGTGCACATATGTGCTGAAGTATTTCAGACTGTCCCGAGGAAATGAAAAAGAGGAATTTGCAGGGGTAGACTTGGGTTGGCTAACAATGACAAAGTCAAGGGTGTCTTGTTCTATATTTAGCAGACATTTTTTCTTGCTTTACTGTACAACGTAAAAACAAAGCATTCCAAAATTAAAAAGGAGCATGAATACCCTTGTTACAAGGGAAATACTAACAAACTTTACAAGTCTTCTAAATGGCCAAATGTCCTGCAATGGCTTAAGCATTTGTGTCAACCACTTTAATCAAGCTTTATGAGAAACAAGCAGCCATCTTTTACAATGCAATGGATGCTCCTGGCTAGTCTGCTGAAGACTACTTCTTTTCACAATAATTTACTATGGGAGAGTCAAGACAAAGCTCTCCCTAGAATCTGGCGATAAATAATAATTGCATCATGTAATACTTATCTTGACGTAATCAACTGCTGGTTCATAATTTTTACTGCGTCAGTGCCCACAAACGTACAAATTTTGGTCGTTAACACCACTTTGAACAATAAGATGAGAGCCCTCAGTGCTACCGAAGTAGTGTGTTGCCTCCAGCAACACAGGCGTGTATATTATCACTGCAACGTCCCAATCTTTTGGCAGTTAACACTGCTGAAATATGGGAATCTCTTTCCAGTTCTTTTTTGCCCACTGGAACAAGGAAATCAGAACAGAAAGTGCAATAAAGTAACAGTAGTACATCAGATGGCCGTTAGAGGTGAAAGAAGGTACAGACAGATTGATCATATATCTTAATAATTACTGATATTTTCCCTCCTCCCTTGTTTAAGTTACCTACCTAAAACATTGGGAATATGGCTCCCTCTGCTGATCATATTGATCAACACCTCCCTACTACATTTCATCTGAGCGGTGCTGTTGTAATATGACAGACGGGGGGTTCTGGTCTATCCAGTTATCCTTGGATCCTGTGACCTCATACGCCACTGCAGCATCAATGGATCCTTCCTGTAAGGCCGCTACTCCGCCAGCCGGCCCCGGCGTCATCTCTGTAGCCTGAGTGGGACTGGCGAAGTCTGCAGAGGAGTTGCTATTCACTCCTGTTTCTGAATCAGGCTGCTCCACCCTCTGGTAGTCAGGGGTGTGATTCTTCTGACCGCCGGCAAAGATGGCTTTAACGTTCTCCACCTCCGCTTGGTGCACTAAGAGAATCTCTGTATCTTTAGGCTCAAGGTAGGGGATGGCGTCAGAGCTTCCTGGTGGCACTGAGCGCAAGGCCCGGGAGATGCCTGCAATAATGAACAAGAAATGGTCTATTGAAGTGATGTGGTGCAGTATGCAAGTACAAACTTAACAGACATGCTATCTTGATGAGGAATCCAACATATGTGTATCAAAAAGAATTTGCAAGAAAGGCTGAAATATAACAAAGGACAGACTTTTTTCATTTTGAGGTAACTTACTCGAAGAGGGTGTGTAGAGCTCTTTCTCTTCTGCGTTTCGGCCAAATGGATTGACTGACGGGAAGATGATGAGACAGAAAGAGAGCAGGAACACCTAGAGGGCAAAGCCAAGGAGAGAGTGAGGAAAACAATACTGCAGCATGACAAAGAACACTTTATGAGAAATATAATAAGGATATAAAAAAAGATGTCAATATACAAACAATTTTACCATAACACATGTGCTGGTTGTGCTGGCCTTCATGGTCGACATCTTCACCATTGTCTGAAGCTTCCTCAGTTGCTCTATCAAGGAACTAAGAACCAAGAGTAGATATTTACTAGGACAGGTGTCATCAGATTGAGAAGCATTTTTTAGATACGTGCTATTACATATGAATGCAGAAGCAATAGCTCAGAGTTCTTACATGTTCTGTTTCTGAAGCATTTGGACTTTCTTCTGTAGTTCCAGGTTGTGTGCGGTACAGATGGCAACCCTGTGGTAGACATTAAATCAGTAATTAGTATATTTATCCAAATTAACCAACCATAAAAACTCATAATATAGACATACAATAAATCACTGCTGGTGTAACTAGTGACAGGAAAATTGTTGCTCAATTCTTCTAAAAGTTTTTCCAGCAGTGAATGTTCTTGACAGAGTGGCTACAACTCCTCATATATAACTGTCTATTGACTGAGAGAATTTCTATCTCAATTGTAAACATTTTGGCCTCTTCATCTCACCTGTTTTCCAGTCCATCAACATACACCTTCTTCTTCTTGCGGCTCTCCTGAGCAGATTGCTTGTTGCGGATCTTCCTCCTGACCCTCTTCAAGGTCCTCTCTTCTGCCTGTTACACAGAGGAGGCTTTCACCAGAATGTTGACATGACAGACAACGATGTGTATATAACAGCCCTCAGCAGCTGTGCCGCAGAAAGACCAAACACAAAATCAATTTGAAGGCTAATCAACTAAAAATTATAATATTAAATAATGAAAATGAAAAACTATTATACAGAGATACGAAAATAAAAAACAACGAATACATTTGCTACAAAATGAACAGCAATAAATCTGATTCATCTGCAGCATGTTGGCTGATTGTGCTCATTATTATACAAACATTTACAACATCTGGCAGATGTTCTTATCCAGGGCAGCTTACAATGCTGCACAGCATCATCACAAGACAATCGACTCAAGTAAATAAACATATTTTCAGCATCAATTACCTTTGTGAGAGGCATGTGTGTGGGAATAGTTGCTCCCTCTTTCGTCAAAAGCCGCTTCTCCTCCTCAGTGAGCACAATCTCTTTAAACTGAAACTGAAGGGAGAAAAGACCCATTACATTTCTGGTTATTCAGTAAAGCATAAGATGGTACCACAGTTGTAGCATGCAACATGCAAAGAAACAGCTTGCAATTAATGTTACAAAATTGAAATGAGATATACCAAACTGAAACTTTCAGTTTTCTTCAAACAAACTTGTTGGTTTGACCAAAACAAAAGTGGGAAAAACTGACCTGGTCTGTTTTGTTGGGTTCCTGTGTTGAGTCCTCTATGGACAAAGTGCAGGGCAGCTCACATGTGTTGTCCTCCTCCTCCTCCTCCTCCATGTCCTCACTCAACAAGTCGTCTGACACAAGATAAACACATTTGAAATTAACTTAATCTGCTAAGTGCCTCCATTTGATTATGTATGCAGCATCCCTCCCACAAAATGTCCAGTACTTCCCAGTGTTTTGAAGGGATTTAAGTGGATGTCAAGGGGTTGAGTGGATAACATAAGTACATAAGGCTATAGACTCACAAATGACAGAGTTCTTGAACTACACATACCCAAATCAATGAAGACATCTGTATCTGGCTTCTCTGCCCTCACACTCTGCAGGATATCCATGTCCCTGCCTCCGCTTTGCAGCAGGGAGTAGCTGTGATCCGCATGGACTGTTAAGGCCTCCAGGCTCTCTGCCTGCAACTCTCCAGGGGCCAGGGCAGGGTCCGTGTGCTCCGGGCTGGGCTGGGAGTAGCTGGGACTGGGCACAACGTCACTATCACTGCACTGGGGACTCGGGCATCCCAGATGGTTGTTGTTTCCAACTCCAGTGCTGCTGTCATCAGAAATGCCGCTGTCGCTGCCCAAGGGAGAATGAGAGGGACAGATAGCCTCCATCTTGTCCTCTCCCTCTAACAAGCTGGAGAGAAATTCTTCAGTATCCATACCTGTCAGCATCTAGGGGAAAAACGCACTGTGTTACTTCCAAAATGCACACACAGTGGTGAGTATTTAGGCTTGTGCTTTTAGCTACTATATGGTGTCCAAACTTTCCAAAATGTACCGTTAGTCATATAACCATGTGAACAAATGAGGGGAAACCCCAGTTCAAGCTCTCAAGCTTTAACACCAAGATTACATAAAGTTTGAAAATACACAGTAGTAGTCATCCAAAAATCCAGAGGAACAATATGGTTAAAAATATTACATCTTGTTCAGATAGCCAGGATTCAATGAGCCCGTTCCCATCAGGAAAGAGAGGCTCAGCAGACCAGTCCTCTCCACTGTTGAACAGCAGCCCCAACAGGTCTGTTCCATCCATGTCTGGAAGGTCCTCAGTGACTGACATCTGTAGCAAGACAGCAGCACACAGACCTCAGCATTTACATCGAGTTTATTTGTAAACAATGGTATCTATGTTCATATAATATGAGTACGATGATAGAATCAGGTGTATTGCCAGGAGGGTTTCACATAAAAGTAATTTTCCTGAGGGTTTTAATGCATAACAATAAACATAGTAGATGAAAAAAGAAAGTAGTGCAAGTCAAGAGGCCTAATAAATACGAAAACTGACAATAAAATATTAAACGATATTATAGAAAACATGACTGATATTTAAATAAAACAGCTGTATAGTTTTGTGGAGGAATGTGTAGGATTTTTAGCTGGCAATGTGCAAATGTTTACAGTAAAATAGTAATCCAAAAGAAGAGCATTAATGTAACACACAGCCATTGAGTCCGGTGGCGTAGACTTTACGTTAATGTATGCACAACTAGCCATTTTGTGATTTAGATTTAAATTAATGTGATGCTCTTATAGACTGCATTACAGATGAATAAATTAAAAGTATTCAGTCAAATGTTGTCATAGTTGAATTTTCTTTTTTCAATATCACCCTGCTATACATGTTTGTGATGGTACAGTGAAAATTGTGTCACAGTACAAAAGAAGGTTATGCAGTTTGCCCCACACTTTAACCTCCATGTGGAGGCTGTTATGACTGTAAAGAGTTTATTGACCTCAGCAGCCACAGACAGATCACACTTCCCCGTTGATGTTAACACGTATACTAAATTGCCATGTAAACAGCCTGATATTGCATCACTGCCACGCTCCCACCATGACCTCATCTTATGTTGAGCCCCGCCCCCCCATATGGGCTTTGTCACGAGATCTGAATACAGTATCAAGTGTCAAAACAAATAACTCGTTCAGCCTTTAGTTAATTCCGGAAAAAGGCAATTTATATGATGCAATACGTGCTCAAGTACAAAGAAAAAATATGAATGCAGTCCGGATACAAGGTTCCTTTGTTGTCTTGCAAAATAAGAGTATTCTTTTGCAGCATAGCCATTTAACTCACAAACGACCCAGTTAACGCAGCATTGAACACATACAAGTAATATGAATCAAAAAACTTTAGATTTTAAAGCCAGAAAAAACGTACTGCATCAATTCCTATGGCAGAAGAAAGACACGTCTTAGGCCAAGCTCGAGGAGCCAGCCAGCTCGTTAATGTTAGCTGTTAAATCCTGTCATGATCTTTAATGCCAAGAGGGCGTAGTTTCTCGTGGCATTACAATTTACACGTACTTAAAAACATTAAACACAGTTAAAATTAATGTTTGTTTTTCTTACCGCTCGACGACAGGAGACAAAATACCATTCGAGTGAGAGCGTCCGGGTGTCTTGTGGGTTTTTTTCTACTCAGCGTTTCTTCGCTGCTACAGTCTCAGCGCTTCCTACTGAAACCACCTTCCAACAAGGCAAAAAATGCGTCATCACGTGAAGGCGGATATGAGTACGTGGTCTTCTTGAGTGCTTCTGGGAAGTGTAGTGCAGTACTCCACCATGTACTGTACTCATGGTTGTTCTGCTTTCTGTATTCTGCAAGTGGCCGTATATATTTTTTTCTTCCATTTTTGCAAATATATAAAAAAGAATAGAGAAAATAAATATTAATAAAGTAGGTTTATACTGAAGTGTATTCTATAAGACAAAAGAATAATGTAACCTTAGAAAAGAAAATGGAAACCAAGAGTCAATATATTCAACAAATTTGTGTCCTTTGCTCAGAAAACTTTTAACTTTCACAGCTGGAAGGCAGCACTTGCACTGTATTGCTCCATTTTCTGCTTTAAAGACAAAATAATGGTGAAATTTCCACCCAGTGAAAGCATTTCCTTTCACTAGAGTCCATGATAATGAATTTGTTAGATTAGCTATGGTTTCACTGGAGACCGAGAGTGGTGCTATGAGACTTGTTAAGTGTACACACTGCACATGTGCATTGTATGTTCTTTATTTCAAAATGTTTAAATTTGTAATCTTGCTAATAATCCCCATTTTTACTAAATTAAACTGTAATCTCATTACATTCTTTCTTCTCTAACAGAAACCTTTTATTTGTATCCTGATTATGTACTCAGTTACATGTAATCTGTTACTCCCCAATGTACACACATTATTTACACACGCAAACACAAAAGCATCACAAGCTCCAAAAATATTTCATAAAAAAAGACAGATGCATTTCAATTTTAAATGTATTTTAATCAACACATGAGTATTAACATGGCATCAGATAATTTAAAAAACCTAATTACTGAAATTCATACAGAAATTGCCTGAGTAGTAACCGAAAATTGATTTTGCCACATGAACAACTAATAACTTTGGTGGTTGGTATGTTGGTATTTGTAGCTTAATGACATGTATTGGCTTTTTCAGGCCACAAGGAAAAGAGAGTGAGGTCATTCATGTCAACCAGTCAAACATCTCATGGAGATACATCACATAAGAAGGTAAGATGTGAAATCTCTATTCATATCATCATAAACTTTATAGGAGTGTAATAAAAACCAGTCTGTCTGATTTCATAACATGATAGAAAACTAAGGCATCGAAGAAAAGTGCAATTAAACATTAAATACACCACATTTCATGTTTCACCACGTTATCACCTCAGCATAATGTTGTGGATTTCTAACTTGTTTCCTTAATATTTATGCTACATTGATTTCTCTAAGGTTTTATTGGGTTTATCCAGCAAAACTGAGCATAGGATGGGGCTATAAATGATCTGGCCTGCATGATCCAAATGAAAAGCTGTGTTTGCCATCTAACCATCATAATGTTAGTTAAATAAATTATTTTTACCAACATTTCCCTAATCTCATGAGGATTACAGGTACCTGTCCCTGTCAAAAAAGGAGACAACAGTGATTGACTGGCAGCATTCTCACAGAGACTAATTTTACTTACTAGAAGAAAGTTACTAAAGTAAGAAATCCCAGATTTCAGGAGCTGAGTGGGGTTATATGCCATGATTTCAATTTAAACTGCTGGACTGTAAAGCACTTTTTTATTTATAATGAAATCCATGCAATCTCATCGCAGACTACAAGTCTTTCCAGCATTTTGTCACAGAATCACACAGAGTTTAGATGTATGCCTCAAACTACGGTACACTTTTAGTCGTTCCTTTTTACTCGTTGGTGTTGGTCCGACTACCTTTGTGACTGCGGGCACGCTCTCGACAGCCCGTTTCTTGTGAGCACGGTGTAGCAGGATCCGATAGACCCCTGTGATTGAGCTCCTGCAGTCTTTCCCCTGGTTGTTGAGGATGTGTTCTGAGGTGATCCCTAGTGTCTCCAGTGCTGCCTTTACCTCCATCTCTTCCTCCCCGAGTTCAGATGGTTCACTCTCTGCTAGGTAGGATGGGTCTAGTTTAAAGGGCTCCATGGCACGAGGGAAGTCCACAGGGAGTAGCCACTCACATCCGATCATCTGCTCCACTGTGCAGCGGTCAGATGGTATAGGTTGGAGGATTCCCCTGATCAGCCTCTGGCATGCCTCTGGCACCCACGAGGGCAGGATGTAGGCTCCCTCCAAGATGCATCGCTTCAGTTTGGCCACAGTGTCTGCCCTGAACGGCATCGTGCCTGTCACCATAAAGAACAGCATCACCCCCAGGGCCCAGATGTCTACAAAGATGCCAACATAATGCTCATCCCGAAAGAGCTCAGGAGCGGCGTAGGGCGGAGAGCCGCAGAATGTGTTGAGAGTCTCACTACGGCGACTCAGCGTGCTAAAGCCAAAGTCCCCGACCTTGACGCAAGAGCTGCTGGTGTAGAACACATTTTCTGCCTTCAGATCACGGTGGATAATGTTGTTTTCATGCTGTAGGAGAAAAAGGGGAAACCTGCATTATGTAATGTAATGTTATGCCACCTACTTTCACATTAATTCACTGTTTAAAGTGGAAAACTTCAAGCATCCAGTGCACACACACTGAGAATTGACTTTTCAGTGAAGTAGCATCTGAAGTAGTATCTTGTGACCAGCAATTGAACTTGCATTTTTATAGATTCAGAATTTTCCAATGAGGGAGAAGATAGATAGATTTAAGCATTCTTAACCCAGTAATCAATCTTTTTGTGGATAAAAACATATCTGACAATAAATCATTATTACAAGCAAAGTATTTTTATGTGTCTTAAACCACACTACAATTTTACTTTTCCAGTAAAGCTGCTTTCCCTATCTTTTTTGATAAAAAAGTGAATGCCTAAAAAACACGTGTGGGGAGTAATCAGCTTCATATGTGATCCAGTAGTAGTAGTAGTAGAAGTAGTCTGCACTAACAGAAATTGTCATATGAGATTAATTAGATTAGAAGATCAGATGAAATTTTAATGACCCCCGAGGTTATACCAGGTCATTGAAGCAGACAGAGAACAGGCAATACTATAGATGAAAATACATTTCTTTACTAACATACAGTATAGCAGACAGTATAGGTTGTCATCTTAATGGTCAATATCACTGTTATTTGACAATTAAGACTGTAATTAAATCTTTTATAGGTTACACTCAGATTGAGATTTTGTTTTCGATTAATTAAACAACTTGAATATAAACGTATATGTACTGACCATGTGTCTAACAGCAGAGAGGATCTGAGCAAAGACAATTTTGCTTTCAGTGTCAGAAAGCTTCCCTTCTGTAGTAATCTTGGTGTAGAGCTCCCCTCCCCCTGCGTACTCCATCACCAGGTGTAACCGTGACAATGTCTCCACCACCTAAAGAAGAAAGTACACAGTGGCTGAACATTGAGAAAGCCCCTTGAGATCAGATGTAGCTCATATATAAGTCAATATGAGAGTGTGTAGGAGTCAAACCTCATAGAGGCGTATGATGTTGGGATGGTGTAGCTTCTCCATGCTGGACATCTCTCTGGACAGCAGCCTCTGGGTCTTCTGATCCAGCTTGGTTTTGTCTAGGATCTTTATGGCCACTTTGTCTGGTGATGCCAAGGAACAAGATTAAGATCAATGATCACTAACAAATGATACATTTATACAGAAGAGTACAGATCATTTAGAGAAATACTTCAAAGCCGCATTTCATTTCAATAGAAACTTGATAGGGAAAATAAAAGTGCTCCTATCATCATTAAAATAACTTAGCTTTTCTGATAACTGAAGCTTTTGATGTATTACATAAATTGAAGATCAAAATGTGAGCCTCGTTTCGTCTAGCACACAGAATTGCCCCTGAAGTGACCAAGCCGGATTCTCAGCTCTAGATAATTTGATGGAGGATAAGCTGCCATCAGAAACCAATTTTCTTGATTATGTTCTCCCAGGGGGTCAATTCTCACTTTTAGCCTTATCTTAGAAGGAAATTTGCTTTTGTAAATGAAGGAAAAATTGCTCTTTTTCTGTCATACTGCAGTGACTTCAAGCGTGAGCAGATATGGAGGGTCAAGTAAGGGTGAAGATTAAGGGACGGATAGAGCTGAGTTAGCTATATTATCCTGGAATCAAATTTAACTTACCACCTTTGAAAATGTGTTGAGAGGAGATACAGTGCGCATTTCACAAGGTCCACAATTTTACAGCCAGTAAAGATCAAAATACTTCACATATATCAAATTCAACAACTGATATCTTTACTGTATTCTGTTAAATGATTCATAAAGAGAAGTAAAATAGACCTCAGGTAACTGAATACAGAAAAGTTCTTAAGTGGCAAAATGGTGTTGAGATATCTAATTGTGCGTCAGTATACATTATTCAGGCATGGTATTAGGCTCCCTTTCAGCTGTGACATATCTTTCAATAGGAGCATTGAAAATGCATCGCAGCTCGTATTGTTTTTGGAGGACTAAATGATACCACTTACATGCACGCACGCACACACACACACAGACACACACACACATAGCATGGCATAGATCGGAATACAGTAAAGTACATACACCCCTACAAACATAGAGCAGGCACACACAGAGCTACACACTCTTTCCCCTCCCTCTCTTTAGCCTTTGATGAGGCATGCAGCAATTTTAGCCGTCGCTAAGGAAACTGGAGATCTCTAATCAATCCATCTGTTCAAGGGCAGCAGACAGTCTGTCTCTTTGTGGCTGAATCAGCCCCCTGGCCAGGCACACATCGCCTTGTTAGTGAATTGCGACATAAGAACACACTTGTTAGTGTTGCAGCCCATTGATGGAAACAGCTCATCAGCCAAATTATCACTTAAATGTAATTAAAAAAAAGCCAGAGCTGAAAGCAAAGGGGAGCTTACCTAAGATTTTTATCTTTAAAGATGGATGTGTTTAGACTTTTATTGATTGGCTATCCAGTCAAACTGTCAACCGTCTATCACTTCATAATAGTCAATATGATTGCTGCTCCTCAATGGATGTTTTTCTTTGCTTGAGTGCAGGTGTTTTTAACAGTTGCATTATACTGATGTCTTGTAGTTTCTTACCTTTGGTGAGGGCATGAATTCCCAGCTTGACATGGGAGAAATTCCCACAGCCAATCTCTCCTCGAATTTTGTAGAAGCCGATTCTTCTGCCCACAGTTAGCTCACGGACCACCCTGTGACCAATACACATAACAGAAGACTTAACGCTAAATATTCTTTAAAATATACTACAGTGGAGCCACATAATAAGTAGTTTACCTCCTGGTGTGTCAAAATGTAAACAGAAATCTTGATTAAAAAAAAGGTAATTACTGCTTTATCTCTTGACCCCTACCTTTCATCCTGGCACATATCTAGGTTCAGTCTTTCCAGTGGAGTGAGGCGGCGAATGGTGGCTCCCTCATCGTCTGTGTTGATGTCTGAGCTGTCCTGGCGGCTCCAGCGGTTGTACCTCTGGCCACCAGCGACCACAGCTGTGCCTCCAATTGAGCCTTTGACAGAGTCTCCATTAGAGTCCCCGGTCTCAGCCCCAGACACTGAGATGCTCCCAGCGGTGCCTGCTGCCCCCGACCCCCTGGAGCCTGCTGTCCCGGCCCCAGCTTCAGCCCCTTCTGGGCTGCTCTCGGATGGGCAGACAGCAGTCATCCTGCACCCGGGGTGACGTGAGCTTAGCTCATGGCTGGAAGAGGTGGGGGGCTGGATGCACAATAAGAAAAAAATAAGAAAAATAAGAAAAACAAAAATGAATCCTTGCTACACTCTTTGGATGGGTTATGTCTTTAAGGCATTATGTAAAAAGTTTTCCTCAGATGCACAATGACTGGTGCCCCTACATTATGTCAGTGTCAGCGTCTTTTAGAATCAACCCTTTCAAAATAAAAATAAAAAGGTATGAGAAGAAGGAATAAAACTGCTTAAGTAATATATATAATATAATATATAATTGATTAACAATACTTGGATTTGCAACACATGCTCTCCATTGTGAGACTGTTATAAGCTAAAGAATTAGCCCCCATTTTTACAATGTGCACACAGTATCTCTAGCAAACCTCACATACAGAGCACACATAATTCACGTGTCAAATAAAAATGCAGTTAAATAGCTAGTAACACTTTAATTACACATTGTTATACTATCTTACAGAGGAAATTCATATGGGACATAAACCTTGACTTACCTTCAGATATGTGAATCATTTAGAAGGTAAATTCTTTCAGCGTCCTTGCCCAAATCACATAGCTATTTAGCTATTTAGAGTCAATAAACAAATGTTATGACTGTGTGTTTTCCTGTATTTCAACAAAATAGGACAGAACCTCCAGTCCGTGGACCCAAGCGCATGCTGCATCCAAAATTGCAAGAAATCTGCTGCAGCTGCAAACTGTCCTTGCCACAATGGTTTATCAGAGACAGTTTGTCATCTGACGCTTGGTGTAGTTGTAGTCTTGCATCTGAAGAATTTCCAGTGGTTTAAACCTTAGTTTTCCTTATTTGTATCTGTCGAAGAAAAGGTGAAGAAGATCAGATCGCCCATGTGTCATCGGATTCATGCTCACTGTTGTCTCTTGCTGAAGAGGTCTGCGGAGCTTTAATGGGCTCTTTTGAGTCTCCAGGGTATAAATAGGCCACAGGTTGAGGAGGAGGGGGAAGAGGAGCTGGTCGGGGTGGTTGGAGGAAAGAGGTTGAACAGATGATAGTGTCAGGGTACAGCCAACCTAGTGAGCCTAGTGAGAAAACCTAGAATGAAAGCACAAGAGAGATACAAAAATAAATGTTATTTATGTTTCATTTTTATACCTCCCTCTCTTTTTTATTGTCTAATTCATGTGTTTTCTTTCCATGTTTTTTATCTACTTGTAGCTATGTCACTATATTAAACATTTTGGCAATTTTGTAGTCAAGCATCTGTGCAAAACCATTATATACATGAGATTCCACCCTCCATGGGAAAGAGTTTGTGTGCACATGTCAGCACAAGTGTGCCTGTGCAGTATCTGCTTGAGTGTCTGTTGATCTGTATTGTAATCCTTACTTAATTTAGTGCGTGAGTCCTGCTCTAAGGGCGAACGCAGGCTGGTTGCCATGAGAGCGAAAATAAACAAATCAAAAATCCTCATCACTTTCTACCACTAAGAAGATACTTACAAATAGAGCTGCAGCAATTTGTTGATGAATTGATTACTTGTCAACCATTAAATTAATTGCAAACATTTTTGATAATTGATTAATCAGAATTGTTTTTAAGAATAAAAGGCCAAATTCTCTGATTTCAGCTTCTCAAATGTAAAAATATTTCCTTTAGTCCTCTATGACAGTAAACTTAATATCTTTGGCCTGTGGACAAAACAAGACATTTGAAGACGCCATCTTGGGATTTGGGAAACTGTGATCAACACTTTGTATCATTTTCTACCAAACAACTGATCAATTAATCAAAAAAATTATCAACAGATTAAATGATAATAAAAATAATCATTAGTTGCAGTCCTGCTTACAACCTGACTAACCTATTTCATTTTTGATAGAGTGATGACTTGTGATGTGTGTGTGTGTGTGTGTGTGTGTGTGTGTGTGTGTGTGTGGGTAGATTAGGTTGTAATTAGGTGATAATTGCATGCTGCTCAGAAAACAAAGCTCTAACAATGTCCCATGAGTGGTGAAAGGTGAATCTGAGGTTAAGGTGAAGTTGATATTGCATAATAACATACCACTATATGACAAATCAGCCAAATAAAATAAACAAATAATGGTGTTTAATTTACTTAAAACATCTTTGCTGAGGATGTTTTAAAATTGCATTGTAAATTTAAAATAAAATAAAAGTCAATTGTTCAACAGTCATTCATTCAGACACCTGAACTGAATTATTATTATTATCTATTAAAAACATGTAAATCAACTGCATCATTGCACAGGATGTTCATATTCCTCCATCATGATGAACATGGCTGCCACAGTTTTTCGATTCAGTCGCACATTCCTGGGGACGTAAACTAACTACAACACTAGTCTCCAGCATATACACTAAAAACTCCTGTTTCCTTTAGTAGTTGTTGTTGCTTTTTCATAAAAACACTAAACTGTATTATATATATACATATGTTATAATAAAAGAATGGGCCTGGTTCTGTGTTTGACTGACATGGCTGATTTGAGTTTTTTCATGGGATCTGTTGACAATAAAAAAAATATAACATAATGCCATTTCTTTAAAGTCGCAAACAGAAACCATTTCCATATTTACCATAAATTGTAATGATTAAGTTTGTGATTAACTTAAATCTCAATGGTGATATTCTGAAGTTATTTATAAAAAAACAGTTATAGCTGCTGTGAGAAACAGTATCACACAAAATTATGCAGCAAAGAGCTACAAAATTTAATTAAACAATCTACTCCAATGGGGTGTCCAGTGCCGTACAGACCAGAAATTGAGTTAGGGTGTTCAGACGAAGACGCTGTCATGATGACATAACATTGTGTGTGTAAGGCAGGAGTAGAAATGGTTAACTTAGCGTAACATGGTGCTTTGGAAGGTGTTCTCTCATCCGTCTCTATATTAAGATGAATGAATCTATGTTAAACCCTCGCTAGCAAATCAAAGCAATTCTCTTTTGTGAGGCCTGCAGTCTCCCGGCCTTCAAACACCTTCCTGCCATCGGCCATGAATATCTAAGCATTGATCTCAGGCAGCCTAAAAGGACTTGCTAAGAGAGGACAGGCATCCACTTTACAGCACAAAGCAACAAGCTCTGAATACCAGTCTTTTATGTATGTAAATAAAAAGACTAGACAGCAACCATGCATGAGATAAACACATCAATGGTGAGAGGGGAGTAATAAAAGTTTTGGCCCAAAATCACCATAAGGAAATTGTATTTTTCAATTGTAGATACATATTTATTCAAAGTTCCAGTGTGTAATATTTAGGAGATTCTATTGGGATAAATTTAATATAATACTCTTAGGTATGTTTTCATTAGTGCATGATAAGATGTGTGTATAATAAGTGTAAAAATAAGAATTGTGGTGCTTTCGTAACCTTAGAATAATACGTTTTTATCTACAGAGGGAGCAGGACATGTTTCTACAGTAACCCAGAACGGACAAACCAAACACTGGCTCTAGTTAGGGCCTTGCCCTGTTTTTGTGGCAACCGTAGTTTCTCTGGCATCTAGATGCCATTAACTCCCACACACTGTGCTTTAATATGAATTGGAAAACAATATCAAACAGCTCATCAGACACCTGTTTCACATCCTGCTATTATTGTCTGTTTTTCATTCAAAATATCATACTCCTGATCCTCAAAAATATATTCTTAAAATCTCTTTAACAGAGTGAGACACAACTGGATTGTTGAGTATAGCAATTTTAAATAACTAACTGAATCTACCGATAATTACTTCAAGTGAGGAGAATCTCTATAGAGGGTCTACAGATGAGTAATAGTTACCTAGATTGCTTTGTGCTTTGCTTCGACTGGATAACAGATCTACCTGGTTGCTTGGTGATGGACACTGAACGAGCAGCAACAAGTTTGTTTGTCTTTTTTCATGCTGAGGATTAGGCATTAACTGGCACTGAGTGTCAAGAAAGAGAGCACACAGTGCCCTGTTTACAGTTAAACCATTCTGCATTGAGCCTCAGAGTATCCATGTTAATTATGTGTGTGACTGATGGATTTATACACAAACACAAAGACAGAGCACAAACAACAGAGTAGTGGTTTATGGAAGCTGAGAACGGCCATGCTTGCAATTATTTTTTTAATACTTTTATTTCGAGATCATGAGTTAATTTATGTCATTCTCTCGATAAAGCAAAAAGTTGGTTTTTTCGAGATAAGGGGAAATGTATCATGAGAAAATGAGGGGGATAATTATGGAGAACTCAAAAATGAGTGTCTGGATCATTTAATCACATTAAATTTCAGCAGGAGATCACTGTCAGGACCGTCAGGATTCCTAAATGAATTGAAGAGAGTTGTCACCAGAATATACATCTGAGAGTTAATTTAAGCTACAAATTTTTGGGCAATGTGACGCCAAACTGACAAAATATATAAGAAGAAGACTGATATTAAAATAATGTGTTGACTTTTCATGCACTTTTTCCTGGCTGCTGGCTCATTTTGATCAGTATGACAATGAATATTAACTTGTACATTGCATGCCATTCCTCCATGCATTGTTCATTGTGTTAAACACATGTTACATCTATGATACACCATCTATGAATGCTGGTGTGGCACTCTGATCTCTGAAAAACATTATAAGTAATGAGGATTGATTATATTGTTGCATTTAGTCAGACCAATCTTAATTGGTTTTAAAACTACAAAATTTAAGTTTAGTAAAAGCAGGTCTGTATTAAAGGAGTGCTGTAGTACAATTTTGAAGTTTAAAAAGGCATCAATGGTCTTTGGGTAGTGACCGAAAGAGTGAGATCGTGGACGAAATGGGTTTCTGGCCTCACCCTTAGAGACAGGGTAAGGGAGCTCAGACATCCGGAGGGAGCGAAGGAGCCAGTTCAGGTTGTTCGGGCATCTGATCAGGATGCCTCCTGTGGCCTTTCTCTGTAGCTTTTCCGGCAAAGTCTGACTGGTAGAAAACTCTGGGTTAGACCCAGAACTCACTGGAGAGATTATATATCTCACCTTGCTTGGGAACACCACAAGCTCCCCCAGGAGGACCTGGAACACGTTGCCGGGGAGGGGGATGTCTGGACTACCTTGCGTAGCTGGCTGCCACCTCACCAAGCCCCAGATAAGCGTCAGAAAATGGATGGATGGATAGTTGCATCCAGTCTGCCTAACTTTGCAGTTTCAAGTTCGAATTACAGACAGATGTAGCATTCAAAAACTCACTCAGTTAATACAGTACCACTGCTTACCACAAACAGGTTTATGAGTCTGCAAACAGCCAGCCCTTCATCAGCAAACACTATCAGCTTTGCCAAATACAAGTCCTTACTCACCAGTCAATCATTTGTCTGAGGATCCCTAAAGAAAAGGAGGAGGGTTTGCCTGGCGCACTCTGCTGCTGATCACACTGCTAGCATCAGCAGCCTCTTCACACACTTCAAACACGAGAGCCTATCCACAGCAGCTGTGGATCAAGAATTAGACACTCTTTCCTAGACGCCTGTCTGTGCCTGTAGTGAGTCAAGCTAAAAGAAAAGAGGAGCTGTTTCTCGCATCACAAGCTATGAAACGTCTATTGATGAAAGAGTTCTACCGCTCTCTTCTGTCCCTAAAAAGCTCCTTACTCTACCTCCTATTCACTTTACCTCCATTCCCTCATTCCGCCTGTGCTTGTATCCCATTCTCTCTTTTTCACTGCCGCTATGCATTCAGGCACAAAGACAACAAACGCACCAACACGTACACACATTCACTCACCCTCTCCTCAGGCAGACACATGCACAAGCACACTCATCTAAATACATACACACAAGTGTGTGCGCACACACACAGACAGTGAGCTCTGTCCACACAAAGCTCCCCAGTGTGTTAATTGAGACGCACGGCTGACAAGAATAAAGAGCTCAGCAGTGAAAGAGCTGTGACAATAAAGACTATGGGCCCTAGGAACAGAGAGGCAGGCCTCTCTGGAATCTATGGGGCAAATATTTCACATTTCCAAAAAAACACTACTGACCTCTGAATCCCTTCCCCCTGACACACACACAGAGTCCAAACTAAAGCTGCACAGGCCTCTATGGATGCACCCCAACTAAAGCACTTAGATATAATTCAGAGCTTGCTTTGCAACTGAAAGTGATCATAAATACATACTCTTTCTACCACTGATTTTATATATATATTTTTTGTTTTACTTCATTTGTATATTTTATGTGGCATGACCTAATACTACCTATTAATACTATAGTTGTGAAAAAATGTACAGTACAAAGTTATTCCCTAAGCCTGACAACACATGACATGCAATGCTCCCAGTACTGTAAGCTCCCAGTACATCTTGGAGAGAGAGAGCGAGAGTCTCTGAGGCCACAAAGTTACCATGACACTGTGCGCAGGGAGCACACTAACATAATGCACACGACTGTAAATCTTGCATCTGGTGCAAGGTTCGATTCAAAATCTATCTGGTCAATTGTTTCTTCCTGCTTTAAAGAGCAATCTGAGTTTGCATGTTATTCACTGTCAGAGCTTCAAAGAGTTGTGCATCAAAGAAAGAACACACAAAGCACAATGTTTCATGTGATCTGACTGATTGACCATCAAAAGAATAAAAATCAAGAACACGTTTCATTCAGGCGGTATGTAAACAGACCCCAGAAAGGGCTATTTTTGCTTCGGAAATATGGAAATATATTCAGCTTCTAATCCAGGTCTAAGACAGGTGCAAAAAGATAACTTTTTGAAATTGGCCAAAAGACACAAAGATCATGTAGTTATAGACACAATATGGGGCATTCTGATGGCTCAGTTCAATAAGAATAATAATAAAGGGTATCCAAATTTGGCTGCTGAGTCATTCAAATCTCTAATTTCTCTTTGCAATAAACAAACACAGAAACCATGAAGCGCAAATACATCAGTCAGGGTGTATAACCACAATAAAAAGTTATAGTGTCATGCGTTTTCCTTTTATTTTTTGAATTTCCCTCGTGATAAATAAAGTATCTATCTATCTATCTATTTCCCAACAGCCACAGACATGTCAGGATAGCTCTTCTCTGACAAACACATTAGTATTCTGTGTCTAAGTTGTGTTTTGTACCTTCACTACAGAGGAAGATGATGGCAATCAAACTATCAGTAAATTATCCTTACAGGGACCAAAACAGTCATGATGGTTACTCCATAAAGACAGATAAACCCCCATTAGAGTGCAACAGGTGTTGCGGCTAAACTCCCCCCATTCTTTGCCTGATTGCATTCACACTGCGTGCTCTAAAACAGTACAGGAGGATAGTCAGATCCCCAAAGTTGATATCCTAATTTGCGCGTGTGCGTGCGTCAAGTGCGTGCGTAACTGCCGATGCATTGTGATCATTTTTCAGAGGTGACACATCAAATTTAACGACTACAAGCGTTGCAAAAAAAAGGGCTAAAATCTCATTTAAAAAATTAGATTGAGGTTATTATTTAAAAGGAATGATGAGCCTCATTCTCGGCCCATGTGATACGAGCTCTACCACCTTCACAGATTATTTGTCAAGGTACTGCTGAGTCGCCATGCGGGGTTGTGACTGAATTTAAATAGCCAACATCTTTTGCAAAAAAAAAAAAAAAAAAAAACTTACAAGCTTTGCAAACACAAACCTTCTTAGGAGTGAAAAAATCTTGCAGCAATTAAGTGACTTGTCTATTGGTTTTCAATGACAGTCAACAGTTAACACCCCCTCGCACCAGGCCATTCCCTATGAGCCAGCGCATTTCTCCTTATAATCCCACCACCGCAGTAACAGCAGAGATGTTATATTAGTGAACTTACTTGGGTAAATACCTTCATGAGGCTCGCAGAGACAGGCTTTACCGACCTCGCTGTAAAATCATCTTCTCCGGTGCCCGGTGACATTGAGCGCACTGGCTCTGCTGCAGCTGCTCCCCGGTTCGGTCTGTTGTGAAGGAAATCCGCCTGACTGGCAGGTGAAAGCGACCAATCAGCGGCGGACTGAGGAGTCCAACGTGCGTCTCTTGTCCAATGAGAAGCGAGGATTTAAAAGCTCTCGCTTTAGTTCAGTATCACAGGAGCTGTCCAGAGTGCGAGGCGGCGGGACTCACCAGGTAACCCGACCTGTCTATGTGTGTCTGTGTCTGTGTGTGTGTGTCTGTGTGTGTGTGTGTCACGCACCATGGTCACTGGCCACGCTGTTAGCGCTGCGGAGGTTCAAGATGGGGTCAGGGGACCAGTAATAGGCCTTAACAGGATTCCAATAAGTGTCCATGTCTCTATTTCGCTACTAAAGACTTCCCTGCGTCATAACCTCATCAAATGGACTAAAACAAATTGAGATCCACTTACTAGCTCTTCCCGGATCTTTCAAATGTATCTCACGGTGTTCCTCAGCGGTTGGAGTTTCCTCAGTTGTCATGAACATAGCTTTAATGTCCTCACCCTTTTTCTTTTTTTTTTTTGTCAGAATACAGTTTCCTTCAAGTATGAACGTTCACTTTGAACATATCAAATTTATATCACAATGTAAATATCTGAAGTGCAGATTATTGACAATCAATCCAAGGTGATTGTACACAGATATCAGGCCTTTAATGTTGTATTGAATTGAATTGTAGTTTGACTGTTTTAGTATAGCTATTCAGTGTATTGCAGCCTCTTAATAATAACATATCTAAAATAAATTCTGCTTGTTAAATGGTTTATGAGCACTGGTCTGCATTACACCAACTAACTCAAACCTACATTGTTTTTTTTCTGCCATATGGGGTCAGAGGAAACAAGCTGTAAACACAACACTGCCATATAATCCACCACCTTATACATTTAAAAAGGCAAACTTGTTAGCATAGAGTCTATTAAGCATTTATTTGGAGTTGTGTTTCTGGTCATCTGGCAAATGTAAATCCAAAATTCACCTTTCCTTGCCCACTTTCCATCTCTTGCCCCCCAACTCCTGAGGGTAATGTCTCTTTTGCTGATAAATGCTCCACTATGTCTAACAGCTAGTAGCCAACTCTGTGTGTGTCGTTTGGTGGGTTTATCTGAGCTTTTTTTGCTGATTATAGCTGCCTGCTGCATCCAGAAACAAAGAGAGCGGTGACACAAAAAGACTAAAACAATGAGCAATAATAAGCAACAATGAGCAAAATCGGTAGAGCCAAAGAGAAATGTAGATGCAGGTGATAGATCTGTGGATTTATCAATATCAACTTATTTTACAATACAGCCATTTAATCCGCTGCCAATATAAAAAATATTGATTACAACAGCTTTGAGACAAGAAAAAACAATATTATGAATGTATAATAAACTGAACAGCATTTCTCAAATCTAAATATACCCTCTGTAACTTTATTTTAAGATCATCTCAGCAGATGGATGGAAGACTTGTACGCCCATTCTGGAAACCAATTTTATTCCATGAATTTTTTTCCTACAAAAACACCAAAAGTCAATATGAAAATTCGCTTGAACAAAACTGTAGCATTAGCACTGATCAGCGCCGTACTTTAACTGCCCAATGAGCTGCAACGAGAATATTTCATTCATTGTCAAATTGTCTTGGCAAGTGACCCAAACTAAAAGAACATAATGTACATTTTAGGTAAAATAAGGACAGAGAAACAAAAAAACCAATAAAAACTGATTGATGAAGCACTGAAGAGTCACCAAGAATATGTGATATGATGGCAAACAGCTTCAAAAATAAATACAGGATCATAAGCAGGAAATGATAGATCTCCATAACTGTGTCCGTAACTCTGAGTTCGAGGAGCGAGGCTGGTTGGAACTGAGTCATTCAATCTGATGGCAGACAGCAGGACATATTGAGGTGACATGCTTTATCCCACATGCATTGTTCTTTATGGAAAATAAGTTATCAGCTACAGGATAATGCAGCCGCTCAGGACTGACGAGAGTGTCCTGCAGGTCATTTAAGACACCGTCCTTTTCGCATTCTCATACAACCACCGCTTGCTCCGCCTCCTCAATGTTCACCATTTCACCCTCCATCTCCACTTCCACCTGAGAGTTCACCACCTGCTGCCCGTCTACTTCGGTCGTGGTCACGTGCACCACCTGGATCTGCACCCCAGCCTGCTTTAATCTCTCCACATCCTCCTCGCACATTTCTGCCACCCCGCCGTCCTCCACCACAACTGTCGCTGTCTCCTCCATCTCCATTACATCCACGGGCTCCACCGTGACGTGTTCCACATGGATTCCGTCCTCCAGCAGGACAGTTTCGGCGCCTTCTATGCTCTGTGTTGCGATGGCGAGGGCAGTGGCGGAGTCGGTGATGACCACTTCTTCAGTTGACTTGCTGTCCTCAATGGAATGGATGTGTTGGAGGTGGGCCTTTAGGTCTTTAGGGTGGGTGAACCACATGTCACACATGGTGCAGTGGTTGGGTTTGACTCCTGTGTGGCTCACAAGATGGTCTTTGAACTGGTCCCAGCTGTTGAATACACTGCTGCAGACCTGATGGAGGAGAAAATAGTCAGTCGTGGTCATGGAAGAAAAAAAGAGGACTCTCATCATTCTTCCTTTTGAGTAACATAGGAAATGAACTGATAAAACATATGAGATTCACTAGAAGATAGGGTTGTCCCCATGGAAGATCAGAAGATGAATTAATCATGAGGGTGATAAAACTTCAGAAAACAGTGACAAATGCCCATCACATTATCCTGGAGCTTTAGGTGAGGGGTCATTAATGGTCTTGTTTTGTCAGACCGGCAGTTTAAGAGCAAAAAATATTACATGTACTAATGTAACCAAAAAAAACCAAAAAAAAAATCTAACAAATTCCCACATTTGTGACACTGGAACCATCAATTATTGAATATTAAATTACGTAGAGTAGTATCAAACACTTAGACATCCCTACTGTGGGACAATGAAGAAAAAAAGTTGGCATTAACAAATACATATTGAAAACAGTATCTGTTGTCACCACATGTGGCAATAACTGTTCATTTTCTAACTACATTTACCAAGGTAAACTACCACAATCTAAGAAACTCTATGACGGTACACAAGAAAATACAATATTAGTACATTATTCAGTACATCAGTCTGCACATCTAAAGGAGCCATGTACCATAATGTCTGTGCATTATGTCTTTCTGCATTAAGTAAATAAATACACTTATTACATATTTATAATCTGAAATTAAATTTATTTTTTTCACCAAATACACTAGACTGGTAGGGGAGCCCTTGATGGCTTTGATTTTGGACAAACAGTACCTGGCATTCATAGAGTTTCTTGCGTCCTTTCTTGGCTCCGGCCCCATTCTGACAGGCTGCCATATGGCACTTCAGTGTGCTGTTCCTTGCAAATCGCTCATGGCAATCTGGACACTCATAAGGTTTTTCACCTACAAAGAGACATACAATGCCAAGCATGTATTTCAGTGCAAGATGTGTAACAAGTCAATGATACAAACTGAACATAACCATCTTTAATTTTTTATTCTCACCAGTGTGCTTCCGCAAGTGTTCCTTAAAGTGGCCGAAGTGGTCAAAGTGCTTTTTACAGTATTCACAAACGTGCACTTTCTTCTGTGGTTTCTGGTTTCGAGACAGCTCTTCTGCATCAAAATGAAATGTGCTGATGTGCTGCTTCAAGGCGCCTTCCCGCGTGTAGGCTTTACCGCAGTGGTTGCACAAATGGGGTTTTTCAAGCGAGCCCAGGTGCGTTTTCAAGTGCTGTTTGAGGTGGTAGTACAACTTGAAGCTACGATCACACTTGTTGCAGCGGAACATGTTGTCCACTTGGGATATCTGGACCTCTACCACCTCGACATTATCCAGCACCTTGGAGGCAGACACCGTTTCCTCCTGATACACCACCTCCTGCCAAGCACAAACACAGGAAAGGCAGGGTTCATTCTTTCACATCTAGAACTCTTAATTTATATCCAGTTTATCAATTAATAAGACTAAAGAACATGAAACTCAGCTTAAATTAAAGTTTGTACACATACAACTCAATATACCTCTTCTATTCCTTCCTTCTTAATGACCTGTAGTGTAGATTCCCCTTGCTGATACTTGCTGGTTATGTCAGCAAGAAGAGCCAAAGCAGAGTCATCGGAAGCCGCCTGAGCATTTTTTGCTGCATCAACCACCTCCTCCAGTCCAGTCTCCTCCACTTCAATGGCTCCCTCCCCTATCACCTCAATCTCCACCTGGAGAACATCGGAAACATTCAGTCCTGACAATTAAATGTGTGTAAAGAATGAATTCTTTGCAAGAAAGTGTGACCACCATGAACATACTGACCTGCTCCCCTTCCACTGAAGGTAGGGTTTCTGTAATCACATTAGATGTCTCAGCGATCTTCCTCTTTTTACCTTTGCTCTTCGCTGTCAGCGAGGGATTCTCGGTTATCCTACAAGAGGAGTTGAGGTCTTGTTGAGAGGTAATAATGTTGTGATGAGCAGTCCTCAGACTAATTCCTTTCTAGCTCATAAAGTCCTTCACCACTACTACACAAATAAATAAATGACATGATTTAAATTCTGACATTGACACAAGCAGTGATAGGTGACACGTCAACTGTCTGCAATCCTCACTTATTGTTGAGCGCTTTGATGGCTTCCTGCATCTGGAGGTATTCAGCAGCCTTCCAGACATCATAGGCCTCTTCTTCTCCAGTTACAACTAGTGTTGCTGTGTAAGTGAACTCCATCAGCTGGCGAAACGCTGTGTTACTCACTCCTGTCAAGAGTATAAGAGAGCAGCAGTGGTGAGTAAAAGCTGTAACATAACATAGTAACACACAGAGGAAAATATATCTATAGCTGCAATAAAAGTAAAGAGATGTTTGACTACTTTTTTTTCTAAATATAATTGAAACACAGAATACCTTCTATCTCCACCAGTGGCTCCTGGGTAAAATCCTGGAAGAACCTATGGAAAAACTGACTGCATGCTGCCAACACTGCTTTATGGG